CATGAGAGACAAGGGGGTCGTCTGCATCTGTCCCATTTCTTATGTCAACAACAAGACTAAGACAAACACGACAAACAACAAACATGCACCTACAGAGAAGAATCTGCCGTGGCCGTGGTGTCAAAACTGAAATTAAGTTGAGGGCCTGTCAGACTGCAGCAGCAGCTGATTTTCCTCACAGATGAGGACTTCATCCTCCATATGGGGGCAAGGGACGTCTCCCAAGACCCCCGGTCGACGACCTGTCAGCGCGTCTGCCTAAGTCAATGCCGACCCTGATACAGATTGGAGCTCCTACAGGCTCATACAGGCTTGTTCGCGAACAAAAACAGTGAGACACAGACAGACAAAGACAGACAAATAACTGAGTGCACTCACCAGCCGGCACAGGGCCCTCTGGGTCAGGAGTCCTGGAGGTCTCTGGGATCCTGGACGAGCCCCCAGATGTTGTGCCCAAAGTCACAAATCCCAAGGAGACCACCAAGGAGCCAACACGGATGCAAAAGCAAAAGAGCCTTTATTCGAGCTAGCCCGAGCTCAATCTCACACCCATGCCAACACACTGGCCAGGTGCCAGAGAAAGAGAGCGCGTTTTCCCCAGAACAAAGATTTTATGGGTTTCCAGGGCGGTTTGGGGGGGTGATGGCCGTGGCTCTGGCTGATTGGCTGGGTCTGGGGGTATTTGGGGGGGTGATGAGTTGTGGCTTTGGTCAGTTTGCAGGGTCTAGGGGTGGTGGGTGTACTTCTTGCTGACTGGAGACTAAACTCCGATTGGCTGAAATAGGATCTGGGAGCTTGCCCTTTCAATATGCTATTTTTTATCTGGGGAATATTAACTGATCTCATTGAAGAATAACTCTAGAGCTGAATGTTTAACACTGAGTTTTAGTAGGGGGTTTCCTTCCATGTAGTTATATTGCTCCAACTGCAAATATCTTGCCCTGCTTTTTCTGGAGGCCCTCACCCTACTCTGACTACACGCACGGTCCCTGTATCATGGGTACCCAACCTCGGTCAGATGGATGTTCTGCAAATATTTTCTCCCCAACTGTGGTTCAATGAGACTTGTTTATGGACTCTAACTTACCTTTTTTTTCTTTTATGGTTATTGCTTTGTGTGTCCTAAGAACATTTTGTCTACTTTCAACTCATAAAAAATATTGGCCTATGTTATCTGCTAAAAGTATCATGGTTTCAACTTTTATGTCTATGTCTGTGATCTATCTCAAATTAATTTTTGTGTATGGTGTAAATATAAATGTTCATATGGATTTCCAGTTATTTCAGCATGATTTTTTGGAGATATCTCTTTCCCCATAAACTGCACCCTATTTTCTCTATATAGTCTTTTTGAGTATATCTCTTTGTGTATGTGTGTGTGTGTGTGTGTGTGTGTGTGTGTGCATTTTTTGTGGTTGCTCTGAGTATTATAATGCACATATGTAACTTATCAGTTCACAGGTGTCGACTTTACTTTTAATAACACTCTGAGCAAATGAGAGTGAATTTTCTCTCATGTTTTCCCAGTATAAAGACTTCATCTTACACAAATAGTACCAGTTTTATCCTCTTCTTTATCATTTAAATTCCTCTATTTTATTTCTCTCCTGCATTTTTACTTCAAGGCTTTTAGAATACTTCCAATAAAAAAACTTCAAAAATAAGCAGGGCAGTGAGAGGCATCATCTCCTTGAATTTAACAGGGGGACCTCTATGGATCTCCCATGTGGTGGGCTTTGGTTTTGGGATCTGAGTTGATTAAGGAAATATACTTCTTACACTAGTGAGTGTAAGATAAATTCTAACCAAAATCAGCAGGTGAAGAGAGGCAACAAAGGGCCAGGTAGTTTATTTGAACACAATTCCCAGGCGAGGTTCACCAGTCTATGGAAATGAAGGCTGGGGAAGTCACGCCCAGCAGGGAAGGCAGCAAGTTTGTAAAGAAGGCAGGGGGAGGGAGAGCAAAGGTATACAGTGGCACGGAGTATTGGCTCGCCTAGGGTACATGGGGGTTTCTCATTGGCCTTTAGCCAGGTACTGGAAAGTTACCACTACTCTTCTAGCTTGGGGAAGGGCTCTAGTTAGGAACTCTTGGAATGTTGTCCGATCAGACTCTGGAATGTTGTTAGACCGGAACCTGTTGGTCTCTGCCTTGTTTGGTGAGGCCTGAGCTTGTCCAGCAGGCTCACCTCTTCCCCTGGTGCCTCCAGCCTTACATTCTAGCTTTTTGGTCATAATGGGCGATGACTCGATCTGGCTACTTCCAGCTTACAAGGGACGTCATGGTGGAGGGGGTGGTTTAAGGCTGGTTGACAGCCAGAGGAGGCTCAGTCAGGAGGGGTGAGTACTTGTACAGCAACAGTTGATTAACTTTTATGTTTGAAATTTCTGCCATGTGCTGTTAAAGGAACTTGAAAACACATGGGGCAATTAAGAGTAAATTATAAACCGTTATTAAAGGGCCAAACTGAGGCATTAGCCACCCATAAGGGCCGCCTTCAGGTACTCATGTTTTGTGGAGGTCTTTTTGTAGTTCTTGTAGTTTTTTTACACTTTGTTCTATGACTCCAGACTCATTTATATAGTAGCAGCATTTTTCTTGCAAGAAAATACAGGTCCCACCCTTTTCTGCGGTAAGCAGATCTAAGGCCTGCCAATTTTGAAGGGTGACCTGGGCAAGGGAAGTAAGCTGCCACTGGAGGGAAATAAGAGAGGTGGAGGTTTCTCTCAGGGTCAGGCTCACTCTATCATCTAATGCTGCTAGTTGACTTGCGAGACTTTGAGAGCTGACTAGGCTATGGCCTAATGCTCCTGCCCTTGTGGCAACCACTGCTACTGTGGTGACCAGACTTACTCTTACTAGTATGGGTAGGAAGACAGCCCTCTTTTGCCTAGCTTCCAGATACATAGACTATCTGTCTAACACCTGCTTTACTTCAGGTTTGTTGTATAATATCAATTGGGGAACTAGCATCACTAAAAGCAGGGCCTTACCATGGTGCTGCTGATACACTGGGTAAGGGTGTTGCACCAGAAAAACCTGCCCCCTTGAAGGGAGATTGGAGTGTCTACGGTTACCCATCATCGGCATTGGCTTCCCATTGACAATTCTGAGATGGTGGAATGCTGGGTCAGGTAGCAGGTCAGTGGGGACAATGGTTCTTTGCACCATTTTCTGGTGGCCCCTAACCTATGTCGAGCTTCGGGCTTGAGGCTCGTTTTCCACATCGGTACCTTGCTTAAAGGGAGGCTGCAGTCTTTTTCAGAGGAGTTTACTGGTTGAGCTTGGAAAAAACTAGTGGGAACTGCCACCACCGGGGGGCGTTGGAGGGAGGCGCAGAGGAAACAGTCGGACACATCGCTGAGAATATGTGAAGCATTAAGAAACCACACTGTTTCTCCAATGACTCTGGCTCAGGAAAGTGGTGCTCCTGCTGGTCCTAGGGAGTGGGGGTAGGGGTCCGACTGAATCTTCTGCTTTAGTGCCTCTTCTGTTTGTAGAATATTACTTGATACCTGTGCCTGGGTGTTTAGAACTTCCGTGAGAGTGGGATTTACAGTGGTCCATTCCCTCTTGATGTGTACTGTGCCCTGTGGGGAGGCTTGGTTACTATTGCATAGCTTGCCCTGTACTTCTTTTTCTCAGCGTGGATCCCATGGATCACTAATGGTAATGTATAGCTTATCTTGTATTGTGAAGAACATGTTGTCAGAGACTCTTCTTGCTGTATCTTCTACTGCATGAACTCTACATGTGTCTAATTCAGGATGACATCCCCCATACATGTCGGACTGTAAAATACATGTATGAGAGATTTGGTCATAAGGAAAGCACAGCATAGGGTTTGAGAAAGTGTTTAAGATGTCTGTGTGTACTGGTATTTGAATCGGTGCCTGACAACCTACACGTGGGCAACTTTGGGTGCTTACTTCTCAGTCTTTGATTCTGTGAAGGGTTAGTTGGAGCTTAAATTTCCATGCAGAATAACTCTGCCTGGAGACCACCAGGCTATTCATCTGGCTGGTTGTACTTGACACAACTAGCCCACAGCTTAAGAGGACCCACCTCACAAGACACCCAATTATCATGTCTGGGCACCCGTTTGAGCCTAGAAAGGTGATACCAGGAGGAATGGCCATGTAGTTTGGCTGATGAGGGCATAGTGAGGATTACTGTATAAGGCCCTGTCCAGCGGGGTTGGAGAGATTTTGGCTGGAGTTCTCTTAGGAGCACTTCGTCTCCTGGCTGAAAGATCGCTACATCTCCTGGGTTGTTGGATGACGTAGGTTGGGGTAGGAACTGGTCTGCGTGTTTCCTGAGAAGATGTCTCAACAGTGTAAAGTAAGGAAGGTAGGAGGCCAAAGGAGGAGAGGTAGCAGGCAGGCCTGTGTTTAGTAAGAAGGGCCTGCCATCCATCAGCTCAAATGCGCTTAGTCTAGCAGGTCTCCGGGGGGCAGCACGCAGCCGAGCGAGAGCGATGGGGAGATGGGGCCATGAGAGCTTTACCTCTAGAGACAACTTAGTTAGTTGGTCTTTTAAGAGACCATTAGCCCTTTCAACCTTACCTGACGACTGAGGGTGATAGGGTATATGGAGGTTCCAGGTGATATTGAGAGCCTCGGCTGTTAGCTGAGTGACCCGAGAGATGAAAGCAGGCCCATTGTCTGACTGTAGCGAGAGAGGCAGGCCAAAGCGGGGGATGGTATGCACCACCAATGTCTGTGCCACTACTGAAGCTGTTTCCTCGCTGGTGGGGAGGGCTTCAATCTACCCTGAAAAGGTGTCAACCAGAACTAGTAAATACCGTAGCTTTTTATGCTTAGGCATGTGGGTGGAATCGTCCTGACAGTCCTGTCCAGGGATTGTTCCTCTCATCTGGTGAAGGGCCATCTGGGTCTTCAGAGCACCTTGAGACGAGATGCGATGACAAGTAGTGCAGGCTTGGTGCACCTGATCTATGGCCTTGCGGAGACCATAAGGGGAAATATGGGGGAGAGAAACCGGTGCATGGCCTCTGGCCCAATGTGTAGAAACTGATGAATTTTGGATATGATATCTCTGCATTGGGCTTGGGGGAGGGCAATTCATCCCCCGAGGTATATCTATCCCTGATCTTTCAACGTCCCCTCTTGATGTAGAAGCAGTCGCTGTTCATCATCCGGGTATTGGGGCAATAGAGAGGGGGAAAGAAACAGCATAGAGGGTTGGCTAGACTCGGATGTTGACTGTCGGGCCATGGCGTCTGCCAACTCATTACCTCTGGTTAGTAGATCATTTTCAGTCTGATGTCTCTTACAATGCACGATGGCCACCTCTTTGGGGTCCTGTAGGGCCTGTAGGAGGTGGCTGATAGCCCTGCCATTGATAATTGGAGTTCTCTTAGTGGTAAGAAAGCTCCTTTCCTTCAAAATCGCAGCATGAGTGTGTGTAATTAGGAAGGCATATTTAGAGTCAGTATAAATTGTGGCCCTCTTCCCGGCTGCCAGCTGTAATGCCTGGGTAAGAGCCACTAATTCGGTTTTCTGGGAGGTGGTCCCAGATGGGAGTAGGTTTGCTTCTATCACCTGCGACAGTCACCACTGCATAGGCCACCCTTTGCACCCCATCACTCCTCTTCACTGAGCTTCCATCTATGAAAAAAGTCAAGTTAGGGTCTTTGAGGGGCACATCTTGTAGGCCCTCTCTAGGTTTTCTAAGAGCCTCTACAACTTCTACACAGGAATGAGTGGGCTGATCTGCCTGATTGCTGACGGGAAGCAAGGAGGCTAGGTTAAAGGGTGGAGAGACTTGTAGGGTTACCCGTGGATGTTCAATGAACAGAAGATGGAATTCCTGTACCCTTGAAGGACTCAAGGAGGCCAGGGATTTATGACTCAGAAGATCTTTTAACACGTGTGGGGAATGCACAGTAATGGGCTGTTGGAGGGTTAATTTCAGGGCTTCTCAGGCTAGACTTCCCGCAACTGCCAGGGCTGAGAGGCAAGGCTGGCACCCCCTGGTGGTTGTATCTGTTTGGAGAGAAAGGCAACGGGATGGCACCCTGGCCCCACTGGCTGTACCAGCACTCCCGTGGCCACTGCTGCCCTCTCTGCTGTATATAGGGTAAAGGGCTTAATTAAGTAGGGGAGCATTAACAGGGGGGGATGAGAGCAATGCATCTCGCAATTGATTGAAAGCAGAAGCTACCTCGGTGGGTGAAGTTAGTGGCCCAGTAGGAGTCTCTGTGGCAGCCGCATAGAGCGGTCTGGCCAGAAGGGCAAAGTTAGGCGCCCAGTGTCTAAAAAACCTCACTAATCCTAGAAAGGATAGTATTTCGGCTCCTGAAGTAGGTGGCAGGAGAGCTTTAATTGCAGCCACTCAGTCCACCATCAGGGCTTTAGTGGTGGGAGTTAGAGTTAGCCCGAGGTATGTAACCTGGGGTAGAGACAGCTGTGCTTTGGCAGGGGATACCCTGTATCCCATGTCTGCCAGGAAATTAAGAAGGGATGTGGTGTCCAGAACTGAGGTTTCTTTTGAGGGGCAGCAAAGTAAAAGATCATCCACATATTGGAGGAGAGTACTCTCACCCATTGAATGTCATGAGAGGTCCTCCGCCAGGGCCTGTCCAAAAAGATGGGGGATATCTCTAAAACCTTGAGGTACAACTGTCTGGGTCAATTGTCTAGATCAACAGGTGTCAGGGTCTTCTCACGTAAAGGCAAATAGCGGCTGCGAGTCTGAGTGGAGAGGTATAGTGAAAAAGGGCATCTTTAAGGTCTAGTACAGTAAAATGAGAGGTACTGGAAGGGACTCGAGACAGAAGAGTATATGGGTTAGGCACTACTGGGTGTAAGGGAATAACAGGCTTGTTAATTATTCAGAGGTCCTGAATGAGTCGATATGCTCCAGAAGGCTTTTTTACTGGCAAGATGGGAGTATTGCATGGAAAGTTAGCCAGCACTAAAAGCTCCTGCGAGAGCAGATGATTAACAATAGGCTGTAGTCCCGTTCGGTGAGCCTGTGATATAGGAAATTGAGGCCAGGAAGGGAAGCGGGATAGGTCTTTAAGGTGTATCAAAACCAGGGTGTGGTGGGTTGCCACCACAGGGGTGGAGATGTTCCACACTACTGGATTAACAGCAGTCCAGGAAGTTGGGAGACTCAGGTCTCTGTTGTCTAACTCCCCTTCGCCAACCAAAGCAATGAAGGAGTCTCTGGCGTCTTGTAAGCATTTAAAAGGTGGGAGGGAAATAGAGACTCCTAACTTATAGAGCAAATCCCGTCCTAACAGAGGGGTAGGACAGGAAGGCATGACCAGAAAGGAATGGGTAAACGGGATGCCTTGGAAGGTGCAGGCCACCGGGCCCATCTTTAAAGGCTTGGAGGAGGTTCCCATGACTCCAACTATGGAGACCTTGAGAGGGTTTAAAGACCCTTTAAAGGAGGGGAGAACAGAGTAGGTAGCCCCTGTGTCTACCAAGAAAGAGATGGGCTAACCCGCCACCCACAGCTTGGCCCTGGGCTCGGCGAGGGTGATCGGGGTGTCCGAGTCCAGGCATCTTCAATCTTCAAGGATGCCCAGCAGGTCTGAAGGGTAGTCTTTTGAGGGCATCCACCCCCCATGGAGCTCTGCTGCCAGAGGAGGACCACCCCCTAGTGGACAGTCTACTTTCCAATGACCTCGCTTACCACAGTTGGGGCACGGTCTGGTCGGTCTGTGTGGTTTGTTGGGGCACTTCCGTGCCCAGTGCCCTTCTTCGCCACACTGAAAGCAAGGGCCCAGAGGTTTGAGTTGATCTTCAGGGACACCCCGATGATCTCCATGAGCCAGCCGCAGAGCAGCTGTTATGGCGCGAGTCTGTTCTGCCATTCGGGCAACTGACCTCCTCTCGCTCTCATCCTCTCAGGCACGAAAAACTTTAAATGCCATATCTACCAGGTCTCCTAGAGGGGTCTGGGAACCATCTTCAGCCTTTTTAAGCTTGCACCTGATGTCCAGAGCTGAATGAGTTATAAAATGCATGGCCAGGAGAGAGGAACCTAACGCTGAGGCCAGGTCAATCTTAGTAAAAGCTCTTAAGAGTTTCTTTTAGATGCTTGAGGAATTCTGATGGGTTTTCATCAGGCTTCTGGATAATTTGTCTAAGCTTATCATAATTGATAGCCTTTTGGGCAGTTAAGTTCATACCTGCCAATAAGTAGTGAACCATGCGATCCTGGCATGCTTCACCCTCGGGAGAATTATAATCTCACAGGGGTTCTTGTAGAGGAATAACTTCTCTGCCCATAGGTTCCTGCTCATCTGTGGCATGGGCTTCACTGGTAGAGTGCTGTGCCACCGGTTCTTCTGGGGTTAGAGTGGATTGGAGGACTACATGTACATCGTGCCAGGTAAGCTTGTAAGCTCGAGTGAGATATTTAAACTGTTTAGCGAACATTCAAGGGTTGGAGGAGAAGGACCCCAATCACTGTTCTACTTGGGACAAGTCTGCCAGGGAAAAGGGAACATGAACCTGTACTACTCCTTCAGCCCCTGCTACCTTCCTCAGAGGAGCCATCACATAAGCTTGAGACCGCTGTGACTTAGAGCGGGTTATGGGAGGGCTAGACCATTTGGGTGCTAGCTGCAGCGAGTAAGATGGTGGTGGGTTTGAAGGAGGGGATGGAAGAGGCGACCTTGGTAGCGGGGGATACAACCTGGGAATCGATGCGGAACTTGAAAGCAGGGGACTAGTATGTGGGGGAGTTTTATCTGTTTTATCCGAAGTGGAGTCAGCACCTGTGGAGCAAGATGGCGGTGTGACTGGAAGAGAAGGGGAACAAGATGGTGGAGAGACCGGAAGAGAAGGGGAACAAGATGGAGGAGAGACCAGAAGAGAAGGGGAACAAGATGGTAGACATGAGCATTGAGGAAGGGACCAGGCCCCCATGGTGGGCCTGGAGGAGCGGGAAGGGGTGTAGCTGAGATCTTCCACCAAGTCCATCAGAGAAGAGCCTCCAAGTAATAGGAGTGATAGAGATCAGCAGTCCTTGGCGGAGGCCTAGGCTAACAAAACTTGGGAAGGAGTACACTTAACATACAAATCTGGGTGGGTGCACAGAGTCCAAAAAGCATGCACATATGGGATTTCACTTCACTTTCCACTCCAGTGGCAATAATTAGTTAAGTCGGTGAGGAGGCCAAAATTGAAAGTTCCCTCAGGGGGCCAGCGAGACTGGTTGTCCAAGGGATACTGAGGCCCAGCCTGAGAGCAAAGGAAGAGTAGCTTCCATTTGCGAACTTCCCGGGACAAATATAGAGTAGCCAAATTAGAAATGAGACACCGTAGTGGGGTCTGAGCCTCTGCGTTTGAGGGCTGGTTCCCCATGTCTGCACCACTCCCCAATTAATCCTGCTGAGAGGAGCGCCCACCGTCCCAAGTGCACCAAGTCAGGGGAGATGTCCTGGGAGCCTGGGTGAGGGACGTCTCCCCCACCACAGGGCCAAGGGTGGGCCGGATGCCTGCAGACATCCTGGGGCCTGGGTTAGGGATGTCTCCTGCACCTCAGGGCCAGGGGCAGGCCGGATGCCCACAGAGGGTGGGCCAGATGCCCCGACCTGGATGTAGCTATGATTTCGAATGGACCAGGTGAAACGGAGTTAGGAAGGGAAACAGACTAGGGGAAACTGAGGGACTCACCGGAAAATAGTCCATGCAGTGGAGAGCAGGCTGAGGTCCTGGGTCGGGGAAGGAGGGGGCAGGGCCGCCGGTGGCCACCCCGCTCATGCTCCTTCCTGGGTTTCGGCACCAAATGTAAGATAAATTCTAACTGAAATAAGCAGGCAAAGAGAGGCAACAAAGGGCCAGGTAGTTTATTTGAACGCAATTCCTGGGTGAGGTTCACCAGTCTATGGAAGTGGAGGATGGGGAAGTCGCACCCAGCAGAGCACGCAGCAAGTTTTTAAAGGCAGGGGGAGGGAGAGCAAAGGTATACAGTGGCGTGAGGATTGGCTCGCCTAGGGTATGTGGGGGTCTCTCATTAGCCTTTAGCCAGGTACTGGACAGTTACCACTACTCTTCTAGCTTGGGGGAGGGCTCTAGTTAGGAACTCCTGGAATGTTGTCCAATAAGACTCTGGAATGTTGTCAGACTGGAACCTGTTGGCCTGTTCACCTTGTTTGGTGAGGCCTGAGCTTGTCCAGCACGCTCACCCCTTCCCCTGGTGCCTCCAGCCTTACAGTGAGTAATTTTTAATTGTAGGTACAGCTGCATTTTGTCAGCTGTCTTTCTGGCATCTATAGAGAGGCTTGTAATGCATATGAATTATACTGAATACATTAATGACACATTACAGTTCTTGATTATCTGGAAGAAATGAACATGAGGTTAATCGCCAGAGAAGTGCAGTCAGATGCTGTATTAGGAGGACATGCTGCACTGTTACTGTAAGGCCACTAGTTTTTTGGCCCCTGATACTGGGACAGACATGAGGAGCACACCAATGAAAGGAATTAGGAAGCCAAGGAGCAGAATGCCATCAATGAACACAAAACCTGATAAATGCAGCTACAAGGAAGTGTTGTTTTCTCAATGAACATTTTTGGAATAAATGGTTAGGTATCTGGGAAAATGTTCTGTTTCTACTTAACAACACATACCAAAATGAATCTAGATTGATTAAAGTCTTAAATGTAAAAGAAAACCATAAAATAATATGTTTCAATATTTATATTATCTTGTCAGTGGGAAATTTTTTTAAGCATAAAAGCAAAGCATAAAATATTGTTACGGAAAATACTGAAAAAACCTGGACTGAATCACTGATGAAAGAACCAAGTGGCACTCAGAGATCTTGGAGTGCTGAGGCTTTATTTCACGCCGGCGGGCTCAGAGGGGAGTAATCTCCTGAAAGTCAGAGCCCTGAACAAAGGCAAAGGGAGCAATATATATCTTTCCGCTTCCTTATCTGTAACATTCCTACGTGCACAGCAAGCGGTCAGGCAAGGTGGAGGGGGCGAACCTTGAGAACCAGTGCTTGGCAGAGCGGGAAACCAAGGGAGTGTTGTTGTTGTTTGTGTTGAGGAGGGGGAGACAGGGGAGCCACCTGGGCTAGACTGCTGTCCTTGTAAATTGCTGTCCTTGTGAATTTTTCCCTATCAGTATAACAAAAATGAATGTGTGTGTTCATTACCAAGTACAAGCCACTTGCTACACAACAGGCTGATGTCGAGAGACAAGGTGTGTGGTCAAGGAAAGCCACTTTATTTGGAAAGCCAGCAGACCAAGAAGATGAGAAGACAGTAGACTCCTGTCCTAATGCACCGTCCTAACTCAGGGTTGACTGCAGGATTTTTTAAAGCTAGTGAAAGGGGGGAGCAGATTAGGGGTTGACTGAAGGCTGCAGACATCTGGGCCAGTGAGGATTGGAAGAGAACTGAGAAATTCAGTGTTCTTGGTTAGTTGACTCTCACTGACCCAGGTCTGGTCACAGTGTTCTTAAAACTCCTTGACAGGCTCCATAGATGCTGAAAAAGCATTCAACAAAATTCAACATCCATTCATGATAAAAACTCTCAACAAAATGAGTATAGAGGGCAAGTACCTCAACATAATAAAGGCCATATATGACAAACCCACAGCCAACATCATACTTAACAGAGAGAAGCTGACAGCTTTTCCTCTGAGATTGGGAACAAGACAGGGATGCCCACTCTCCCCACTGCTATTCAACATCGTACTGGAGGTCCTAGCCATGGCAATCAGACAAAACAAATAAATACAAGGAATCCAGATTGGTAAACAAAAAGTCAAACTGTCACTATTTGCAGATGACATGGTATTGTACATAAAAAACCCTAAAGAATCCACTCCAAAACTACTAGAACTAATATCTGAATTCAGCAAGGTTGCAGGATACAAAATACAGAGAAATCTGTTGCATTCCTATACACTAATGATGAACTTGCAGAAAGAGAAATCGGGAAAACAATTCCATTCACAATTCCATCAAAAAGAATAAATACCTAGGAATGAACCTAACCAAGGAAGTGAAATACCTATACCCTGAAAACTACAAGATACTCTTAAGAGAAATTAAAGAGGACACTAACAAATGGAAACTCATCCCATGCTCTTGGCTAGGAAGAATTAATATTGTCAAAATGGCCATCCTGCCTAAAACACTCTACAGATTCAATGCAATGCCTATCAAAATACCAACAGCATTCTTCAACAAACTGGAACAAATAGTTTAAAATTCATATGGAACCACAAAAGACCCTGAATAGCCAAAGCAATCCTGAGAAGGAAGAATAAAGCAGGGGGGATCTCACTTCCCAACTTCAAGCTCTACTACAAAGCCACAGTAATCAAGACCATATGGTACTTGCACAAGAACAGACCCACAGACCAGTGGAACAGAATAGAAAGTCCAGATATTTACCCAAACATATATGGTCAATTAATATATGATAAAGGAGCCATGGACAGACAATGGGTAAATGACAGCGTCTTCAACAGCTGGTGTTGGCAAAACTGGACAGCTACATGTAAGAGAATGAAACTGGATTATTGTCTAACCCCATACACAAAAGTAAATTCAAACTGGATCAAAGAACTGAATGTAAGTCATGAAACCATAAAACTCTTAGAAAAAAACATAGGCAAAAATCTCTTGGACATAAACATGAGCGACTTCTTCATGAACAGATCTCCCTGGGCAAGGGAAATAAAAGCAAAAATGAGCAAATGGGACTACATCAAACTGAAAAGCTTCTGTACAGCAAAGAACACCACCAATAGAACAAAAAGGCATCCTACAGTATGGGAGAATATATTCATAAATGACATATCCAATAAAGGGTTGACATACAAAATATATAAAGAGCTCATGCACATCAACAAACAAAAAGCAAATAATCCAATTAAAAAATGGGCAGAGGAGCTGAACAGACAGTTCTCCAAAGAAGAAATTTAGATGACCAACAGACACATGAAAAGAATCTCCACATCACTATTCATTAGAGAAATGCAAATTAAAACCACAATGAGATATCATCTCACACCAGTAAGGATTGCTACCATCCAAAACACAAACACCAACAAATGTTGGCGAGGTTGTGGAGAAAGGGGAACCCTCCTACACTGCTGGTGGGAATGTAAACTAGTGCAACCATTGTGGAAAGCAGTATGGAGGTTCCTCAAAAAAATCAAAATAGATTTACCATTTGACCCAGGAATTCCACTCCTAGGAATTTACCTTAAGAATGTAGGATCCCAGTTTGAAAAAGACATATGCACCCCTATGTTTATCGCAGCACTATTCACAACAGCCAAGAAATGGAAGCAACCTAAATGTCCATCAGTAGATGAATGGATAAAGAAGATGTGGTATATATATATATACACACA